CAAATAGGAAAAACATGTGAAAGACATGTCACTAAACAGACCAGAAAAAGGATACTTGTTTACAATATGAGAGCTGAAACGAGTCAGAGTGTCACCTTGTTCGATCTCTGGTGGGCAGGTGTGCTGTGCATATCCATGAATGAGTGCAAAAGTGTCCTGAGCATCAATTTTGAGGCTACAAATAAGTTTTAGTGAGTAGGCAAATTTGAAAATATGAGATCCACAAATATAGAGAATTGACTGAGTCTACTTTGCTCAGACTCACCTAATGGCTTTCAGAATGCCATGGAAAGAAAGGGGAAGAAAAGAGAGAGGGAGAACTTGAAATCCCAAGGCTGAGCTGTTACACTAACAGGCCAAGTTCTTTTATGCATTATAAATATATTAAAAACCCCTGAATATGTACAAATATCTTAACTCAAACATATAAATGCTGTGCGTTTTCTTCATTCCATACTTAATTCTAAATTGTCCCAGGTTTGAAAGATACTTACTTGTTAAAGGAATATTATATTATCTCACAAAATTTTGGAGTTATCTTCTCATACAATTTTTGAAGTAGCCTCATTGACTTACATAAGGTTGCAAAACTGCCAGAAAAGTGGGCTGCTGATCAGATTCTGTTGGTGACCAGGATTTGTTGAATCAGTGTGTGCCACAGCCATCCCCCCAGGCTCACAAGAGATGGCTGTGCAATCTCTTCCCAACCTTACATTCTGGGCCTCATATTAGTACTTTGAAATTGGTCTTGGTGGATATAGTTACACTATGGAAATCTGCAAATACTACCAGTCAGGGATCTTTTGGAGAATTGGTTGTTAAACCTTAACCAGCACTCCCCTCCCATGAACACTATTTATAGCTGTACCCATGACTTCATAACTCAAAAAGGGAGTGTTCACTTCACCAGAGATCCTTTTAACCTCTACTCCCAGAAGTCTTCAGGCCTTGTATCATTTGTTTGGGTGCTGCATTTCTTTGGCTCTTAAGACATGTAATCTCAATTCTAAAGATTTAAATTTGATGGGTTCTTGCATTCTTTTACCTTTCTAGGATCACATGACTCTTGCAACCATGGAAATAAACCTGACTGATTCTAGGCCCTCTTTCTCAGCTTTGTCCAGTTCAGTCATGACCTTCAAGGTCTTTCTATATGCCCCCACCTCAACTACCCACCCCGTGCACACCCCCACAACATCCAGCTCGGAACCCTTGTGCTATAAACTTTCCTCATTTCTTTTCTCCTGTTCAGGGCCCAGACGAAGGCTTCTTTTGCAGACAGTTGGTGGCCTCACAGGCACCCCCTCCTCAGCATGCAGGTCTCCTGGAGCCTGGCGAATGGCTACAGTCAGTTCCCTTAACACCTGGCACCGGCATGTGGACAAAGAACTCATGCTGATCCTGGGGACTCAGGCTGTAAAACTGCAGGCCAAGTTGTTAAACCCAGATTCAGGTAGACAGCCAAATGGGGCCGAGTCTGCCCTGCAGCTGGGTTTTGGCAGACAGCGCAGTTTCCCTATCTGTGGGGGCCTGGTGTGGCCTTGTCTCCCATAGGCACTGCTGGTATAATTTATTAGGCCATAATTGTTGAAAGGAACAGTCCTTCAGGCCACTCACTCAGGCCAAAAATGTTTCTTTATTGAGCATTCTCAGTGTTCTTAGCCTTGTGCTATGTGTGTGTGTGTGTGTGTGTGTGTGTGTGTGTGTGTGTGTTGAGGGAGAGTCACAAAAATAGACCAAGACTGCATCCCTCTTCTGTAGTTTACCAGTCAAGCAACAACAGAAAGCAGAGTATGCTAAATGCCAAATAGGAATAAGTAATAGAAATGGAAAATGCTAAAGAATATCAAAGGAGAAATTCGTAGTGGCCTTGAGTTCACTAGGGTTTGAAGGATGAATGGGATCTGGTCAGTGAAGAGCAAGGTGAGGGCACCTCAGTGGGGAGAAGAGCTAACGGGATGGGTGGGGTGGGGCCCAGGATACGTCCAGGGGCTGGCATGAAATCCAGTGAGCCCCATAAAAACCCAAGAGGAAAGCTTTTCAGTTCTTTTTTGGGGAAAGCTTCCATGCTTGGGGAACCAGAATGCTTCTACATGTCGCCAAGCTGGGTCTCAAGTTCCATGAAGACAGAAATTTCTTTACTTGATACCTCGCCTAATGTATCTCTCTATCTGGCTGTTGATTCATATTCAGTAATAAATGGTAAATGTGTTTTCCTGAGTTCTGTGAGCTGCTCTAGAAAAGTAATTGAACCTCAGGAGGAGATTGGTGGAACCTCCAATCTGTAGCAGGTCTGTCAGAAGCTCAGGTAACAGCCTGGGGCTTGTAACTGGTGTCTGAAATGGGGTGGACGGAAGAGGAACAGTTTTATACTACTGAACCCTTAACCTATGGAATCTGACGCTATTTCTGGGTAGATAGTATCAGAATTGAGTTGAATTCTTAGACACCCGGCTGGTGTCCAAGAATTGCTTGGTGCTATGTGTGAGAACCACACACACACACACACACACACAGGAATTGAGTCTAGGAAACCTAATAGAATTGCTAACTGGTGGCCCATAGGACATCTGTTCTACAGGCATTTTTGTCCCACATGCTGTTTAAAATAAAACAAAACATAGAGTCAATGTTTTAAGATTAGGTGATTAAAAGAAAATGCAAATTCTAGATTCTCTTATAGAAGTTGGAGATCTGGCAATAGTGCAATTTCATTCCTGCAGAGCAACAGTCAGCCCGAGTAAGCAGACCTGCCCCCAGGCCAAGGAACTTCTGCTCCCTTTTTCACAGAGCCAACATCACTCACCAGAGTGGCCACTCACATCCAGCCCCATTGATCCTTTTATGTTACCTTCTTAGTCTCTATAGGTATTTGATTTTGAGACCCTATTGAGAGATACTTCCCCAAACAATCACAGGTGAAGTGAAAGTAAGAGGAATAGCAAGAAAATGCATAACATTAAGATCCAGAAAGATTTAGTCAACAAATTTGCAGCTAAGTGAGTTTAATGAGATAAATGTAAAGTCTTGTAATTGTCCATTAAGTCAACTGTATTAGTCGGGACACAGGGATACAGGCTTAACAGTAAAACAAAAAAAGAAAAACAGACGCACAAGTTTTAGTTGATAAAAACCTCAACATGAGTCAACAGTATGATGTGAGTGTCAAAAAAAACTGTGACTTTAGGCTATATAAAGAGAACTATTTAGCAAATGTTGGCTTCTATATAACAGGGATTAGAGGTGTACTACATAGCCTCCTGGGGAGAGTATTAATGAGTTTCACAGAGTCGAGACTCAGGGGAAGACAGATGTTGGCACAGTGTAAGGAGGCTGCCCAGAACCACCCAGAGACAGAATGGCTGCTCAGGAGGTGGTGCATTCCCTGGACACGGGAGTGCTCAAGCATGGACTGGATGACCACTTTTTGCCATGGACTGGATGGCAAAAAGAAGGAGTAGTAGATGAGAATGATTAGAGGGCAACTGTTTCTCGAAGAACTTTAGGTCCCTTTTCACCTTCACAGTCTGTGATTCCATGTACTAGAAGTGTTTCTGGAGAGAAAGAAATGAGTATTAACCTCTCTGTGCCATTTCACCCGTGAGAGCTACACTTCAGGTGTTGATTTAAAAGAAAGCCCTGCTTAACTGTGCCAGCACATGGCGATATCCCTGAATGCTTAGTCCTCGCTGCCTGAGTCTCATCGTCTGAGGGCCCACTGTGGTGCTTCAGATGTAAGCTGGGCGAAAAATGGCATTTAGAAACACCTCCTAGGTTTGTGGCATGGCTAAACTTGCAAAGGAACCATGGCACACATTTAGGAGAAACATGGGCTTTAAGGAATTGACATTCATTATATACAATTTCCAGTTATCTGGGGTCCCTGTGTAGTCTCAAAGCAAATCTGGAAGTCTGTTCCCCAACAACACTTTGTAACCACGGGGCTGGCAGGGGGTTGGCAGTGTCCAGTGTGCATGTCACAGCACACAGGGGGCAACTCTCTGTAGTAGAAAATAACACAGGCTCTGGAGTCAGGTTGGGTTCACATACTGACCTGGTTACTCAAGTGTAAAATGAGGATAATAACACCTCCATACAAGATAACATATGAAGCATTTATAACTTAGTAGATGATCAACAGAGGATAACCAAAGATTTATTTTTCTTTACAAATATTTTTAAGACCAGACTTACTTTTCTTGTTTTCATCGTACTGTGGCTTTGCTTATGAGGCTACTTGGATCTCGGCGGCCTTGGCCCTTTAAAGAGAGACTGGCTGGAGGGATTAGAAAGTGTGAGTCCCAGTTATGGGCAGGGTCAACCCACCATTCACAGGAGGAGATCATCACTTGCAGTTTTAATAAGAAGGCCCTTGTTTGCCATCTAATTCAGAATATCCTATAAGATGCCCCCAGGAGAAACTCCGGCCACCAGCCCCCTAAGTGCCACCTGTGGGTCCTCAAACACACCCAGCCCACGCCCAGCTGGGGCCTTTTGCTTGCTGTTTCTCTTGCCCGAAACTCTCTTGTCTCAGGTATGTGCAGGACTCAATCTCTTTCTTCACTCAAATATTACTTTATTAGAGGAAATTTCCTGAACTGCACATCTAGAATAACATCTTTCCCCTTGTCCTGACTCACCTGCCTTGCCCCAAACACCACCTGACATGTGGTGTAATCATCCATTATCTTTCTTGCCTCGCTGAACGTGTGCTCCACGAGCGCCAGGACTTGGTAAACAGAGCTCTTTCCCCAGGGCCAGGAAACCTGCTGGGCATGGCAGGGCTCAGTGAACAGCTTTGGACTGTGTAGCTTACAGTGGCTTTCTGTTTGATTCTATTGCTCCCCCAGAAAAACTGTACCCCCAAACCATTCTGAGTTCACTCTGAGTAATGGGTCTGTGGGCAAACAGCAGTTTCTAGAGAGAATGGTACTTCCTGGCCCCGGGACGGGTCTGTTTGTGGTCAGCTCCTCTAGACCTTTTGCTTCCCTTCTGCTGAGAAGGTTAAACAAACAGTAAGAGACTGAGAGCAGGAGCCGGGGCTCCCGGAAGAGTGAGACATTTACGCACATAACGCAGAAGCAGGACAAAGTGCCCCACTTCTCCTGAGCTGTGCAGAATAATCCCTGGAAATGGGTGACACTTACCAGTCCTGTCTTTGAATAGGCCAATTGTCTGGCACCACAGAGCTGCTGAAGCTGTTTGTAGAGGAGCTTTCACACTTGAAGAAGGAAAGAGTCTACTTCTGACTGTGCAGCTGAAGGTAAACCTTTAATATCGCTCATCTGCACACACCATTGCTTTTTATTCACATGGAAGATATGTTTAGTCCTTTAGCTTCTAAAGGGCTGATCCTGTTGAAGCCATTATTCATCAGCAGTTCACAAGCTGTCTGACCTGTATTTCAAAGCTGTGTTTGGCATTAGAAATAAACTTGGGAGGGGATTTTTTGTGTTGGCACTTGGCTGTGTTGGGCAGTGAGAGCTTTTGAGCTGACAATTCAAATAGTATCTTCTCACGGGAAGTGGCAATATGGTGCAGGTTTTAAACGAGTAAACATTTTTGGATTACTATGAATATAATTATGTTTTGCATGACATTGATTTCAAAAAAATCTAACTGATAAAAGTAAACAAGTCACAGAGTTGGGGAGTAAGGACTTAAAAACAACATTTAGACTTCAGTAAGATAATGAACTTGGCAATTAGCTATATTTTGTATTCTGCGTTTGTCCTTAATAACATGTCACACATGCAGCATATGCAGCGTTTATCCTTGTCACCAGAGCTTGCTGTGAACTGTCACTGGCCACAGAGCATGGACAGAGGCTCCCCCTTGATGCTCCTTTCCTTCAGGATTTGGGGGGGGGTGGAAATGTGGTGAAAGTATGTTTTTGGTGACTCCTAGCATATTCATTGCCTATTTACTGGACATCAAAAGTGGCTGAGGCTCAGGTAGGAGAGAGGCAGAAATCATGGTCTTTTATGAAGGACCTTCAGGCATGTTATAAGGCAACTCTGGAATGACCATATACATACCCATTTCCATCTTTGGGGCTATCTACCCTGGCTAACTCAGTAAGATAGTGGGTCCTTAAATGGTGGGGCCTATAAGTCATTCTCCTGGGCCCAGAGAGTGCCTGGCACAGGATGCTTGACAATGATTATTTAATAGAATTGAATGATCACAGAAGAGAATTTTAGAAATAGGGAGAAGACTTCAGAGATCTAGGCTAAGAATGTGATTGCATAGAGGAGAGCCTGAAGAGGTGAAATAATTTGCCTGGATCCCTATGGGCTGGCAGTCACCCACAACTAGGGCTTTTGCTTCCTTGCCAAATCCTGGGTGACACATTCGGGTATGAGGCCTGCAGAGCCAGGGTCTCCTTATGCCTTGGGAGCTAAGCCTGGGGTTTTCATGGGTGAACAAGCACCAGGTTCTCCAGAGCACTGGGAACCTGCAGAAGTGCCCCTGAGGAGGTGAGACCGAGTTACCCAACCAGAGTAGAACACTCCCAAGGGCAAACACCTTGAACATGTGGCCATGTTTAGCACACACTAGAGCTCAGAAAGGATTTGTTGAATGAATGAAATACTAGAGGCATTTTGAGGTGGTCCATGTACAGAACGGCTATAAAGTTATAGCATAAGTAAACGACATATATTTTAACAGAACATTTACATCTAAATGAGTGTTGTCTTCCAGATAATTCACCATTCGAGGCTATATACATTAATTTCAATATGCTGTTCCCTGTTCAAAATACTTTTGAAAGTCCTCTTTAGGCATTTCCTGCTAAGTTAAGGCGTACAAAACCAAAGTCTCATTACTTTATACTCATATCTTCTTTTTGACCTAAACACAACTTCTCAATCAAATTCCCCACCATATTCATCATATATTATTTCTGATATGTTCATGAAATGTCTTTTGTATGCCAGCACTACTGACTTCAAGATTTAGAATCCAATCATACTACATATATAAGCAGTGACTATTCATTGAATTCCAGGCACTGTGTTTATAAGCACTCAGAAAATGATTTATTTAATCACTGCCACCACCTTAATAGGTAGGTATTGAAATCGGGGCTTAGAGAGGTTAAACAGATTGCCCCATGACACAAAACTGGGAAAGAGATAGGTTAGAATCCAGGTCTGATTCCAGAGCCCAGTACTCTGAACTTTCTGATATTTACCAAGTCTGAAATACTCTTCACCATGATCTTTAAGGGCTCCGTGATATCCCATTATATACACAGACCACAACTCAGCAAAGCGGTCTATTATTGCAGAACATTTCAATTACTTCTATCAAAAATATTTTAAAAGGATTTCAGTAATGAACATCCTTGGACATAAACCTTTACATATGTTACTTGATTTTTTCTTCCAAAAAATTCTAGGCATAGCATTTCCAGGTTATTTTTTAAGGCTTTTAATCACCTCCTAAATTATATGAAGCCCTTCCTTGCCAGTACTTATATTATTATTATTTAAATAATTGCCAAACTGGAGGAATAAAAAACCCTCTTATTTTTTCCAAAAAGTAGAAGAGGAGGGAATACTCCCAAACTCATTATACAAGGCCAGCATCACTCTAATACCAAAACCAGGCAAAGACACCACAAAAAAAGAAAATTACAGACCAATATCCCTGAAGAACATAGATGCAAAAATGCTCAACAAAATATTAGCAAACTGAATCCAAAAATACATCAAAAAGATCATCCATCATGTTCAAGTAGGATTTATTCCACGGATGCAAGGATGGTACAACATTAAAAAATCCATCAACATCATCCACCACATCAACAAAAAGGACAAAAACCACATGATCATCTCCATAAATGCTGAAAAAGCATTTGACAAAATTCAACATCCATTCATGACAAAAACTCTCAACAAAATGGGTATAGAGAAACAAAAGCAAAATTGAACAAGTGGGACAATATTAAGCTGAAAAGCTTCTGTACAGCAAAGGACACCATCAATAGAACAAAAAGGCATCCTACAGAATGGGAGAATATATTCATAAATGACAGATCCAATAAAGGGTTGACATCCAAAATATATAAAGAGCTCACGTACCTCAACAAACAAAAAGTGAACAATCCAATTAAAAGATGGGCAGAGGAGCTGAACAGACAGTTTTCCAAAAAAGAAATTCAGATGGCCAACAGACACATGAAAAGATGCTCTGCATCGCCAGTCATCAGAGAAATGCAAATTAAAACCACAATGAGATATCACCTCATACCAGTAAGGATCGCTGCCTTCCAAAAGACAAACAACAACAAATGTTGGTGAGGTTGTGGAGAAAGGGGAACCCTCCTACACTGCTGGTGGGAATGTAAATTAGTTCAACCATTGTGGAAAGCAGTATGGAGGTTCCTCAAAACACACAAAAAAGAAATACCATTTGACTGAGGAATCCCACTTCTAGGAATTTACCCTAAGAATGCAGCAGCCCAGTTTGATAAAGACACATGCACCCCTATGTTTATCGCAGCACTATTTACAATAGCCAAGAAATGGAAGCAACCTAGGTGTCCATCAGTAGATGAATGGATGGATAAAGAAGAGGTGGTACATATACACAATGGAATATTATTCAGCCATAAGAAGAAAATAAATCCTACCATTTATAACAACATGGATGGAGCTGGAGGGTATTATGCTCAGTGAAATAAGCCAGGCAGAGAAAGACAAGTACCAAATGATTTCACTCATCTGTGGAGTATAAGAACAAGGAAAAACTGAAGGAACAAAACAACAGCAGACTTACAGAACCCAAGAATGGACTAACAGTTACCAAAGGGAAAGGGACTGGGGAGGGTGGGTTGGAAGGGAAGGAGAAGGGGAATAAGGGGCATTATGATAAGCACACATAATGTGGGGGTGGGGGCAAGGGGAATGCAGTATAGCACAGAGAAGACAAGTAGTGACTCTATAGCATCTTACTACACTGATGGACAGTGACTGTAATGGGGTATGTAGGGGGGACTTGATAATGGGGGGAATCTAATAATCACAATGTTCCTTATGTAATTGTCTATTAATGATATCAAAATTAAAAATTAAAAAAAGACAGAAAGAAAAAAATATATAGTATTTGCCCTCAAGAATAATATGATTATGAAAAGATAGGTTGAAAAAAAAATCTATCTTATTTTGATTTATATTTCCACGCTTAATAGTGATGATAAACATTTCTTTTTGTGATTTGTATTCTTTTGTAAATTAGCTTTTCTTCATTTTTTCTAATAGGATGTAAGCTTTTTTCCTTCTGCTTTGCAAGAGTGTTTTTTAAATTAAGGATATTAAGCCTTTGTCTACCTTTCATTCTGCCAATATTTCATCCTTGTTTGTGGTTTGCCTTTTCATTTTAAAAAAATCAAATATGTTTTAAAACTTTATGTAGGCAAATCTATGCATCTTTTATGATTTTCACTTTAGGTTTTATGCTTTGAAAGATCTTTATGATTCAAGAATACATGAACACTTTCTATATTCTCTAGTTCCTCTGTTTAAAGTATTTTAAAACATGATTCATGTGTTTGGAACTTCACCTTGATAACTGGTATGCAGTGGGAACTCTAGCTTCAACTTCCCAAGCAGATATCAACTATCCCAGCACTATTTACTTGAATAATATAATATTTTCTACTTCTGATTTTCTTTTAATGTGATATAATTGACATATAACATTAGTTTTAGGTGTGCAACATAATGATTTGATATTTATAAATATTGTGGAATAGCCACTGTAATAAGTTACCAATGATCACCACAATATAATTAACATCTGTCACCACAGGCACATTTTTTTTCTTGGGGTCAGAACTTTTAAGATTTACTCTAGCAACTTTCAAACATGCAATAAAGTGTCATTAACTATAGCCACTATAGCCACTATGTCATTACCTATAGCACTAAAGTCATCCCATGACTTACTTACTTGATAACTGGAAGTTTGTATTTTTTGACTCCTTTCACTCACTTTGCCTACCCCCAACCCCTCTGATTTAAAATGCTACTTTTATCATATACTAAATACTTGTATATACTTGGATCTGTTTCAGGGTTTCAAAGTTAATTTTGTTGATGTTTATTCTATGCCAAATCTTGTTTTAATGACTCTGGCTTTATAATAGGTTTTGATACTTAATTATGCAACTATCCAGTCATATTTCTTTTTTTTCCCCCCAAATTAATTGACTCACCTCTCCCAAAATCTTTTCTGGGGATTTTGGTGGAATAGCTCTACATTTATAAATTAATTTGAGAAAAACTGAAATCTTTATAATATTGCATTTTCTAATCCAGGGATATAACATGTATCATATATTCATCATTTTTTTTTTAGCACTATACCTATTTTCAAGAACATTTCAGAAACATTTTCTTCTATTTTTCCAGCTTTACTGAAGTAGAATTGACAAGTTTAAATTGTACATGTTTAAGGCATACAGCTTGATGATGTGATATATATACATATATATATATATACTGTGAAATAATGACCACAGTCAAGGTAATTAACATATCCATCACTTTACATAATTCACTTTTGTTTTTCTTTTTTGTGGCAAGAACACTTAAGATTTTCAAGTATACGATACAGTATTTTTAGCCTGTAGCCATACTGTTGTACATATATTTCTCCTCTTTTATGTATTTTGGTAAAATTTTACTCTTTCCTCCCAATAGATCTTACATACACTTTGTTAAGTTTATTGCTGAGTGATATATATATACACGCACATGTACAACACACACATACATATACACACATACACATTTTATATATTTATGTAAAATTGCTATAATTACTAAATGGGATCTTTTTCCCATTTTACTTTCAAATAGATTATTGATAGTAAATATTCACTTAGTTATTCAGCAAATACTTGTCTACTGTGTGCTAAGCACAATGTTAGGTACCAGGACTATACTAATGTGCAAAACAAACACAGTCTGTGTATAGTATTAGTAAATTCCAAAATATTGATCATCTTTGCTTTGCTGGGCCAAGCCCTGCTTGGTAACGGAATATTATTGTTTTTAAATACAGCCCTGATGGATTAGATTTGTTAGTATTGCATTTAGGATGTATATTTATAAATTTCATAAAATAGCTTAAGTGAGACTAGTCTGGTCTGACCTGTCTGTGTGTGTGTACATGTTAGCTTTGTAAAATAAATTGGAAACCTTGCTCATTATTTCTATAGTTTATATAACATTGGAGTCAAGTGTTTCATTCTTATTCCTTGAAAATCACATTAAATCATAAAGTTCAAACTGTAAGACTAGAACTGAGTAAGGGCCCTAGCGTCCTGAATCTCAGACCTTCGAAATAACTTATGGAAATGGAACAGATTGGAGATTTACACAAGCACAAGTGAGATGACAACAAATGTATTTCTTGTTTTGGTCCTGTCCCCTCACGGGAACAGTGACCTTGTATGTTCACTTCTTCAAACGACTGGCTTTTTTTCCAGGGAGGACACCAAGCACGCCCCCATTCTAGAGCTGTTCAATACTGCTGGCCTGCACGTGACTGAACTGATGCCTAGAGGCAGGCGTGACTGCCTTTGTAGGGATTGGCTTTGCATGATGCCCACCCAGATCATCATTCCAGGGACAGCAAGCCGGGGACAAAAGTAGCGCCCTCGCTGTTCCTTTCTCATGGAAGCTGCATACACCAGACGCAAATAAAAGTCCAGTATCTCCCACTTCTTGTCTTCATCCTCTGCATCTTTCAGAATTTGTAGCCTGTACTTAAATCTCTCTGGTCAGTGCCACACCTGCCTCAGAGTCCCTCAGGGCCAACCTGTGAGCCAAAAGCCCTGTTTCTGTGATATCATATAATCCCTCTCATAATGTTTTTTGTTTATATCCACGAGTGTGTTTTCCGATTTTTAAATTTAAGCACCATCTGCTTTACCTTTCCTAAGAACCTGTTAAGCCATGGGGATCCTCAATCTCTTTCTAATAGCTTTTGTATCAGTTTTTTATTGTCATGTAACAAATCTTCACAGAAAACATCATCATTCATTTATGATCTCACAGTTCTGTAGTCAGAAGTTGGGAGGGCTTGGCGAGGTACCCTCCTTCAGATCTCAAAATGCCAAAACCGAGGGGTCACCAGGGCTTTGTTCCTTACTGAGGCTCTGGGGAAGATTCCAGTAACAGGCTCGCTCTGGTTGTTGGTCAAATTCAGGTCCTTGTGGTCGTAGGGCAGGTCCTGTTTGCTTTCTGGCTATCAGCCTGAAGCTCCCTGCAGCTCCTCAAGGTTTCCATAGTCCTTGTCATGTAGTTTCTACAGCTTCAAAGCCAGCAGTGCTGTGCTGAGTTCTTTCCAAGCTTCGAATCTGACTCCTTCTGCCTCATCTCTCTTGCCTCCTACTGGAGAAAGTTCTCTGCTTTTAAAGGCTCATGTGATTACACTGGGTTCACCCAGATCGTTCAGAATAATTTTACTTTAAAGTGTGTAACCTTAATTATATCCGCAATGTCCCTTTTGTCAGGTTATATAATACATTCACAGGTTTCAAAGATTAGGGCATGGACATCTTTATGGGACCATTATGCTTATTAAAACTTTCATCTCTTTATTTTCTACACAGGATATTTTAGGATCATCTTTTCCCCTGAAGAGGAAATGGAAGGCAGCACCATCTTTTTGGAAAAAATAAATTGCCAATCACCATTATGTCCCCAGATTCATGCAGACATCATTCTTTCAGCTCATGACCATAATATTGTTTGATTCTTGGCATCAAACTCAGTAAAATACATTTGGTGGATTTAAGATTTGAGACAGATGAATGTTGACACACCATTAGGTGGCACTTGATTAGAAAGCTTGCGTCTGTCTGAACTTTCCCAAGGCAGCAATTCGACAAGATGGAAAGGAAACTCTGACATAAATGGGGTGGGGAATGGGGGTATCCTTAGAGATTACAGGAAGATCCTTAAAGGCAAACACTATCCAAGATGCGAACGCAATTTTTACATTCAAGCTAACATCAGGGAATTTAATGAACACTTAGCAAATGTTGATGGACTATTTAAAATCTTTTGCACATGATAGTTTAAAAAATTGCTGGGGTCCAAAGATCTCAAGCACATTTTTATTGGCTGTGACAGTCGTTTTATGTTAACAATGAGCAAATGTTCATGGGGCACTTATTATATGCAGGGAAGGCATAGAGTGAGCACCACTATGGCCTCCTCCTTACCTCTGGGCCGTGTTTTGCACCAAGCTGTGTTTCTCTGAAACAGCTCTGTCCAACAAAAATATAATTCCAGCCATAAATGTAATTTTTAACAGCATTTTTGAGATACAATTTACATACCATAAAGTTCACCTGTTTAAAGCATATGATTCGATGTTTTTTAGTATATTTATAGAGTTGTGCAACCATCATCACAATCTAATTTTAGAACTTTTCCATCATCCCCAAAGGACAGCTTGTGCCCCTTTGGAGTCACCTGCCATTCTCTCCTGCCCTCAGGAGGCCAAGGCAAACCACTAATCTACTTTTGTCTCTAGATTTTCCTATTCTGGACGTTTTATATAAATGGGATCATACAATATGTGGTGTTCTGTTACGGCTCTTCCACTTAGGGTAACATTTTTGAGGTTCATTCATGTTGTAGCATGTATCAGTATTTGATTCCTTCTTATGGCTGAACATAATATTCTGTTTTATGGATATGGCATATGTAATATTACATGATTATAGTACAATATTATTGTCTCTATTCATTATACTATGCATTAGTTCTCTATGGCTTATTTACTACTCATTACAAGTTTGTTCTCTTAAATACTATTACTCTTACTTCCCCACTCCAATCCCCTGGTAACCACTATTTACTGTTTTTTACAGGCTTAAATTTTTTTAGATCCCACATGTAAGTGACATCATACAGTACTTGTCTTTGTCTGACTCACCTTGCTTAGCATAATGTGCTCAAGGTCCATATTCTTGCAAATAGAAGGATGTCTTCTTTTCTCAGGGCTGAGTAACATTCCATTATTGTGTAAGTACACGTTTTTTATCTGTTCATCTATTGATGAGCCTTGGGGTTGTTTCCATATCTTGGTTATTTTGAATGATGTAATTTGCATATACCAAATGACCAGTGACACTGAGCATCTTCTCATGTGCTTATTTGGTGAAGTATGTGTTCAAATATATGTCTATTTATAAAACTGTTTCTTTTAAAATTGAGTTTTGAGAGTTTGTTATATATTTTTGCTACAAGACCTTTATCAGAGATGTGTTTTGCAAATGTATTTTCACATTCTGGGGCTTATCTTTTCATTCTCTTAACAGTGTCTAACAGTGTCTTTTGAAGAGCAGAACTTTTTAATATTGACAAGGTCCAAATGATCAGTTTTCTTTTTTGAGATTATGCTTTTGGTGTCATAACTACTTTTTTTTTTTTGTCTAATAGACCATAAAGATTTTCTACTATTTTTTTAATAGAAGTTGTATAGTTTTAGGCTTTATATTTATGCTCATGGCCCATTTTGAGGTAACGTTTGTATATGAGATACACAAGATACAGATTGTGAGATATGGATTGAAGGTGTTTTTTTTTCATATTTTGGCATAGGATTACTACTTGTCTCAACACCATTTTTTGAAGAAAAAATAATGTATGATTTCACTTATATGAAGTACCTAGAGTGAGCAAATAGCAACAGAAAATAGGTTATCAGTTACCAGGGGCTGGGAGGAGAGAGAGAAGGTTTTATGGCTTAAAGGGTACAGAGTTTCTGCTTGTGGTGATGGAAAGCTTTATGAAATAGATAGTGGTGATGGTTGCACAATATAATTAGAATATAATTGAATATAATTAGAGCCACTAAACTGTATATATGAAATGGTATATTTTATGTTATATGTATTTAACCACAATAAAAAAATCTGTAATGTGATAGTACTTAACATTCACTAGGATGGATATAATAAAAAAGACAAACAATAACAGGTGTTGGCAAGAATGTGGGAAAATTGGAACCTTAACTTCTGGCAGGATGTAAAACTTTGTGGCTGTTTTGGGAAAGAGTTTTGCAGTTCCTTAAAAAATAAAAGAGTTTATGATCCAATAATTCCACTTCTATGTATCTCTCCAAAATAAAGGAAAATTTATGTTCACACAAAAATTTATACACAAATGTCCATAGCAACATTATTCATAGTAGCCAAAAAGTGGGAACAACCCCATTCTCCATCCACTGATGAATGAATAAACAAGTGATATATCCTTATGATGTAATATTATTTGGCAATCAAAAGGAATGGAGTACAGTGCATGCTACAATATAGTTGAAACTTGAAGAAATTATGCTAGGTGAAAGAAGCCAAGCACAGGAGATGAAACATTGGATGATTCTGTTTCCTGTGTAACAAGTGTCCAGAATAAGAAATCTGTAAAGACAGAAAGGAGATTAATGGTTGCTTAGGGCTGTGGAGGAGGTAAGAGGGAAGATGGGAGAGACTGTTAATAAGTACAGGGTTTGTTTTAGGGTAGGCAAAAATGTTCTGTAGATTGTGGTGATTGTTGCAGAACTCTGAGAACTACTATAAAACAGATTTGAATTGTACATTTACATGGGTGAATAGTAGATTTGTAAGTTATATCTTTTAAAACTGTTAAGGAATCACTTGTCCCTATATATGTGGGTCTATTTCTAGACTCTATTATGTTTCAATTATCTACCTATCTTTAGGTTGATGCCATGCCGTTTTGATTACTATGGCTTTATAATATGTTTTGAATCAGGTAATGTAATTACTCTGATCTTGCTCTTCCTTTTCAAAATTATTTTGGCTATTCTAGGTCCTGTGCACTTCCACATGAATTTTGGAATTAGCTTTCCAATTTTCACAAAAAAGAAAACCTGCTGGAATTTTGACTGTAATTGTTTTGGGACAATTGATATCATAGCATTGCTGAGTTTCCAACCTCGGAAGAAGGTAAATCTATTTATTTGTTTAGGTCTTCTTTAATTTCTCTCAGCAGCTCTCTGTAGTTTCTAGTGGAAAGGACCTTCACATATTTTGTCAGATTTATCCCTAAGTATTTCATATCTTTGATGCTATTATAAATGGCATTTTATTAATTTTAATTCCTGATTTTTCACTATTAGAATTTAGAAACACAATTTTTATATGTTGAGCTTGTATCCTTCAATCTTGCTAACCTCCCTTATTAGCTCTAGTTGCATTTTTCTAGATTTCATTGGATTTCTACATAGATAATTGTGTCATCTGCAAATAGAGACAGTTTTACCTCTCCATTCTGGCTGGTTATTTTCCTTTTTCTTGCCTGGCAACAGTGGGCAGAACTTCCAGTAGAGTGCTAAATAGAAATGGGGGAGAACAGATAACCTGTCTTGTTCCTGAACTTGGGAAGTTATTCAGTTTTCTCCTACTATGTATGATGCTGGCTGTAGAGTTTCAAATTCCCTTTTTCATGTTGAGGAAGTTCCTATCTATTCAAAATTTATTGAGTTTTTTTTAAATTTTTTATCAGGAGTGGGTATTGGATTTTGTCAAATGCTTTTCCTCTGTTGATTAAGATGAGCATATGGTTTTCTTTTTTAGTTTGTTAATATGGTAAATTACACAGATTGATTTTTAATGTTAAACCAATCTTTTATTCCTGGGATAAACCTTACTTGATCATGATGTACTAATTTTTAATATGTTATTAGATCAGTTTGCTGAAAAATTTTCTTTAAATATTTTAAGTGAAAGTTCATGGAGTATTGTTTGTTATTTTCTTCTGTCTTTATCTACTTTTTGCATTTGCCTCATAGAATGAGTTGGGAAGAATTCCACTGCCTTAAACTTTTTAAGAAAAATATATGTAGAATGGTGTTCTTTCTTCTTTATATGTTTGGTAGAATTCATGAGTGAAGTCATATTGGCCTGGAGTTATCTTTGTGGGAAGGTGTTTTTAACTACAAATTCATTGTCCATAATCTCTATATATATAGAGAGAGAGCAATTCATGTTGTCTTTTTTTTTGTTTCAAAGTAATTTTTTATTGAGATATCATTCACATATCATAAAATTCACCTATTAAAGTGTACAATTCAGTGATTTTTAATATATTCAGGTTGTGCAACCACTCCCACTAAATCCAAAATATTTTTGTCAACCCAAGGAGATATTCTATAACCATTAGCAGTCACTCCCCATTCCTTCTACTTTTTGTCTCCCTGATTTGGATCATTATCAATTTTATGTCAATAGTTTACAAAATATTTGCTCCTACAAAGCTTTGTTCTCCTTTATGTTTTTATTGTCACAAATTATATTTTTATACATTGTGTAGCCATCAATATATATTTATAATTATTGCTTTATGCAGAAAAAATTTTTAGTGTGTAGTTTAATGAATTTTGACATGTGTATACATTCATGCAATTGTCTTTTAAATCAGATAGGATAACAGAAGAGTTACCAAAAAAATACATAACGAAAAATACTTACCCATGCAGTTTTTTATATTTACCCATGTAGTCACCCCTACCAGTGTTATTTCTTTGTGTGGATTTGAGTCATCATCTTTCATTTCAGCCTGAAGGACAACATTAACATATCTTTAGGGTAGGTTGGCCAGCAATGAACACCCTCAGCTTTTATCTGGGAAATCTCAATTTCACCTTCAGTTTTGAAGGATATTTTTACTGGACTCTTGGTCAATAGTCTTTTTTCTGTCAGCACTTTGAATATGTCATTCCATGGCTTTAAAATTTTTAATAGACATAATTTTTTAAAAGTAGTTTAGGTTTACAGAAAACTGAATAGAAAGTACAGGGAATTACCATGAGAGCATCTTAGTATGCTGATAGTGACCTTAGTTGGGGGGGTGGTGAGGACTTGATAATATGGGTGAATGTTGAAACCACAATGTTGTTCAAGTGAAACCTTCATAAGATTGTATATCAATGATACTATGATAAAAAAAGTACAGGGAATTATCATATACTCCCTGCCTCCCCTCCATGCACTGCCTTCTCCCCTATCAAGCTTCCATGCCCGAGTGGTAGGATTGATGTACCCACAGTGACACGTTATTGTCACCCCAAAGCCATAGTTTACATTGTGGGTTTGGACAAACATATAATGACATGTACTCACTTATAGTATCGTACAGAATAGTTTTACTTTCCTAAAAATTATCTGTGTTATTCCTGTTCATCCATACCTGCCCTCAACTTCTGGCAACCACTGATCTTTTCACTGGGTCCATAATTTTGCCTTTTCTAAAATGTCATATTTGGAGTCATACATAGACTTTTCAGATTGGCTTCTTTCACTTAGTAATATGTACTTAAGTTTCCTGAGTGTCTTTTCATGGCTTGATAGCTTGTTTTAGTGCTGAATAATATTCCATTGTCTGTATATACTATAGTTTGTTTATTCATTCACCTATTGAAGGACATCTTGATTGTCTCCAGGTTTTGACAATTATGAATAAAGCTGCTATAAAGATCTGTGTGTAGGTTTTTTGTGGACGTAAGTTTTCAGCTCCTTTGGGTGAATACCAAGGAGCATGATTGCTGAATCATATGATAACAGTGTGTTTAGTTTGGAAGAAACCACCAAACTGTCTTCCAAAGTGGCTGTACCATTTTGCATTCTCATCAGCAACAAACGAGGCTCCTGTCTCTCTACATTCTCACCAGCATTTCGTGTTGTTGGTGTTCTTGGTTTTGGCCATTTTAATAGGTGTGAAGTTATTTTAATTTGCAGTTCCCTAATGACATATGATGTTGAACATCTTTTCATATAATTATATTTCATATGTGTAACTTCTTTGGTGAGATGTCCATTCAGGTCTTTGGCTCAATTATTTATTTAAGTAGAGAGAGAATTTATTAAGACACTGGGCAGCTCACAGCATGTCCAGGAGCACTGGGGCCCCTGGTTTGGAAGTTATACAGCCAGATAGTTGTCATACTTTAAAACCAAGCTGTTTGTTTTCTCACTGTTTGTTTTTAAGAGTTCTTAGTATATTTTAGAGAACAGGTCTTTGTCAGATAAGTTTTTTTGCAAATATTTTCTCCCAGTCTGTGGCTGGGGTTCTTATCCTCTTGACCCACTGCCATTTGGATTCCCTGATTTCTCATGAGAAATCAGCAGTTAATCTTTTTTTTTTTTTTTTGAGAGGGCATCTCTCATATTTATTGATCAAATGGTTGTTAACAACAATAAAATTCAGTATAGGGGGGTCAATGCTCAATGTACAATCATTAATCCATCTCAAGCCTAATTCTCGTCAGTCTCCAATCTTCTGAAGCATAACGAACAAGTTCTTACATGGTGAACGAATTCTTACAGAGTGAATAAATTCTTACATGGTGAACAGTACAAGGGCATTCATCACAGAAACTTTCGGTTTTGATCATGCAATATGACCTATAAACCATCAGGTCAAATATGAATATTCATTTGATTTTTGTACTTGATTTATATGTTGATCCCACATTTCTCCTATTATTATTATTATTTTTATTTTTAATAAAATGCTGAAGTGGTAGGTAGATGCAAGATAAAGGTAGAAAACATAGTTTAGTGCTGTAAGAAGGCAAATGTAGATGATCAGATGATCAGGTGTGTGCCTATGGACTAAGTATTAATCCAGGCTAGACAAGGGCAGCAAGACATCCACGGATGCAGAAGATTTCTCTCAAAGCAGGGGGGGTGAGGTTCTGAGCCTCACCTCTGTTGATCCCCAAATTCTCACCTGATGGCCCCCCTGCGACTGTGCCTGTCTTAGGTTGTTCCTCCCTTGAGGAATCTTACCCGTCTCTGGCTAACCAGTCATCTTCCGGGGCCATACAGGGAAATGTAAAGTTGGTAAGTGAGAGAGAAGCCATATTGTTTGCAAAGGTTAGCTTTTTACTTCTTTGCAGATTTATGCCCTGTGGCTTCTATGCCCAGCACTTGTCTCGAGGTATCTTTACCACCTGGAGGAATTATGATACTCGGTAAATTCGATATGAGGCACGAATTCTATTTAAGGTTTGTAATTAGGAAGGAAGAAGAAAAGCTATAGATGTAGCATATGAAGGAAACTTGGGAGGATTGATTATTTCTTTGACATATCTTCTTGTATAGTACCTTAAGTATGTATAGGTTTTAAACTACTAACTAATTTGCACACACATATTAACATAATAGGAATACGGTGACATAAACAAAGCAAATCTATAATTACCATCCATCTCCAGTGAAGCCAAGAAAACCATTTAGGCACCCTAGGCATTTGTGAAAATTTATCTATGATATGATGGATATTGTCCAACTGTACTTGAACCATCAGACAAATTAAAGCAGCCCATTTCTGGGATCTGTTCACATCCCATATGTTCTTTTAACCATAGATAGTCTATAGTCATGAGATTTTGGAGTGCTACAACTTGCACCCCTCCCAACTCCTGGTTGAGTTCCAACAGTACAGATCCGGTCAAATTCGTTGTCTCACTGTATGCACATGCCAGCCTAGACATCTCCCTCCTCATTCCTATGGCAAGTCCCGGAGACGGTGGGCTGGATGCAGCCACAACCGCAGCATCGTCCGGATCCCTGTGGAGGCTTTTTGATGATCATCCCCCGGCACAAGTCCTCCAGAGAGTGCTGATTCCGGAAGCTCCTCCTCAAGCAGTTAATCTTACTGAGGATTCCTTGTATGTGAGTCACTTCTCTCTTGTTGCTTTCGGGATTCTTTCTTTGTCTTTGTGCTTTGACAGTTTGATTTAAAATGTTTAAAGTTGAAATTTTACCCTACTTGGAGATTATTGATCTTACTGGATGTGTAGCTTAATGTTTGCCATCAAATTTGGGAATTTTCAGCCATTATTTATTCACATATTCTTTCTCTTCTTCCACCTGAGATTCCTATTACGTGCATGTTGGTATGCTTGATGGTGTTCTATGGGTCTCTTAGGAACTATTTATTT